CGACTTCATCTACACAGACCGAAGACATAACACCACAATTAATGGACCATTCGCCACATACCCAGTTATTATGCTGTTGTTATCCGCAGATGTGAGGTTAGCAATGGTGTCTTTGTAGTTGTCGTTCACGGGCTCGAGTGTGATGCCGAAGGTTGTGTCGACACTGGCGCTGCCACTGGTTGTACCACAGGACGAGCACTGCTGACAGGTCCCACTGGGTGTGACATAGTACCCGCTCTCACACCGATCACATCGGACGCCTAAAGGAGAGGGTTAAGGAATATATACATACATAAATATACATATATATACACACACACACACACACACACACACCTACACAAACACACACACACACACATATATATATATATATATTTCTTTTCGGTTGCCAACTTTCAGTGGTAAGGTATTGGTTACCATGGTCCCAACGGGTATCGGAGAAATAGGGAAAGAAAAACGCTCCTTCCCCAAACATTTCGCTCAAATAGATGATCCCAATCCCTAGACCATAAAAAGAGATGTCAAGCACTTTTACGGGACACACCAGAAACAGACAAGTGCCCAAAACTACGACTCAGTGAGACTGCATACAAATAGATGATACCAATCCTTAGACGATAAAAAGAAATGTCAAGTACTTTTACGGGACACACCGATAACAGACATGTGCCCAAAACTAAGCAACTCAGTGAGACTCCATACAAATAGATGATACCAATCCTTAAACCATAAAAAGAGATGTCAAGTACTTTTACGGGACACATCGATAACAGACAAGTGCCCAAAACTAAGCAACTCAGTGAGACTGCATACAAATAGATGATACCAATCTTTAAACCATAAAAAGAAATGTCAAGTACTTTACGGGACACACCGAAAACAGACAAGTGCCCAAAACTAAGCAACTCAGTGAGACTGCATAGCTTGAATTGTTCACCGAAGAGAAAAAGGCAATGATACACAAATAAACCTTATCCGAGCACAGTACAAGTCAGATTAATTGTGGGAGCACATAGGGGGTGGTCAACTAGAAATGGCTACACATACTAAATCCAATAGCTCAATGGGCGAAGAGAACCCAAACACTGCACAAAACAAAAACACAATGGTACTATGCATCTGTGAATCAGACACTTGTGAAGACGAGAAGCATATCACAACCAGATGACTGAATATATCACAGATCCATACAACGGGACACAAAAACCCAAAACCCTAACCTTTAAACCCTAAACCTCAAACCCTGTTTCCTGGAACTACCACGAAGGACTTACCCATAAGTCCATCGGCCGAGAAGGGACAGGGAATGGTTGACGTTATCAGAACAGTCGGTTGGGAACAGTGCGCAATGGGGACACAGTCTGTGTGGCAGAGATGTGTGAAGAGGGTTAGATATGGGTGGTAGTATCAAAGTTATTCAAGTATGACTGTCATATAAGTACCTCAGGAATATAAGTATCACGGTAAGACACAAGTAAAACAGGAATATAAGTATCACAGTCAAATAAGTATCACAGCAATATAGGTATCACATTTATGTAAATATCACAGTAATATATAATAGGAATATAAGTATCGGCTATATAAGTATAATAGGAATATAAGCTTCACAGTCATACAAGTAAAATAGGAAAATAAGTATCACAGTAATATAGGTATCATAGTTATGTAAATATCACAGTAATATAAGTATAATAGGAATATAGGCATCACAGTAATACAAGTAAAATAGGAAAACAAGTATCACAGTAATATAAAAATCACAGCTATATAAGAAATAGCAATAACGCATATGGGGAAATATTTGGCGCAAGAGTGGCAGTCGCCTGTAGAACAATACTGCTGAGACAAGCCTACAGTACGTGAACAGTACACTCAACAAGTTGGTGGACAAGGCTGTGTACCAAGACCATCAATGGGGAAGTTGCACTGTGCGTGTGCGAGTGTAAGTGTAAGTGTGTCAGTGTAAGTGCAAGTGCAAGTGTAAGTGTAAGTGTAAGTGTAAGTGTAAGTGTAAGTGTGAGTGTGAGTGTAAGTGTAAGTGTGTCGGTGTAAGTGTAAGTGTAAGTGTAAGTGTGAGTGTATGTGTGAGTAAAAGTGTGAGTGTGAGTGTAAGTGTGAGTGTATGTGTGAGTGTGAGTGTAGGTGTAAGTGTAAGTGTATGTGTGAGTGTGAGTGTAAGTGTAAGTGTGAGTGTGAGTGTAAGTGTGAGTGAAAGTGTGAGTGTAAGTGTAAATGTAAATGTGAGTGTGAGTGTGAGTGTGAATGTAAGTGTAAGTGTGAGTGTGAGTGTAAGTGTGAGTGTAAGTGGACGTGTAAGTGCGAGTGTAAATGTAAGTGTAAATGTATGTGTGAGTGTATGTGTATGTGTGAGTGTATGTGTATGTGTGAGTGTGAGTGTGAGTGTGAATGTAAGTGTAAGTGTACGTGTATGTGTGTGAGTGTGAATGTGAGTGTGAATGTGAGTGTAAGTGTAAGTGTAAGTGTAAGTGCGAGTGTAAGTGTGAGTGTAAGTGTAAGTGCAAGTGTAAGTGTAAGTGTAAGTGTAAGTGTAAGTGTGAGTGTAAGTGTTAGTGTGTCAGTGTAAGTGTAAGTGTAAGTGAGAGTGTAAGTGTGAGTGTAAGTGCGAGTGTACGTGTAAGTGCGAGTGTAAATGTAAGTGTAAGTGTAAGTGTAAGTGTGAGTGTAAGTGTGAGTGTAAGTGTGAGTGTACGTGTAAGTGCGAGTGTAAATGTATGTGTGAGTGTGAGTGTATGTGTATATGTGAATGTGAGTGTGAATGTAAGTGTAAGTGTACGTGTATGTGTGTGAGTGTGAGTGTAAGTGTGAGTGTACGTGTAAGTGCGAGTGTAAATGTATGTGTGAGTGTGAGTGTATGTGTATATGTGAATGTGAGTGTAAATGTAAGTGTAAGTGTACGTGTATGTGTGTGAGTGTGAGTGTGAGTGTAAGTGTAAGTGTAAGTGCGAGTGTAAGTGTGAGTGTAAGTGTAAGTGCAAGTGTATGTGCGAGTGTAAGTGTGAGTGTGAGTGTAAGTGTAAGTGTAAGTGTGAGTGTGAGTGTAAGTGTAAGTGCAAGTATGAGTGTGAGTGTAAGTGTAAGTGTAAGTGTGAGTGTGCGTGTGCGTATGCATTGGCTGCGTTGTGGCTATCTGTGTGTGTATTGCGTGAGGGGTGCACCCATGCACAAGTATGCATGAGTAGTGGATGTGTGTCAGTAGTGAGAAACTGCAGTGATGCAGGTGTAGATGGAGAGACATTGCGCGAGTAGTGAATGTGTATAAGTAGAGCAATTATACACGGACAAGATGGCAATGGGCGAGCAACAATGTTGAGGATAAACGACAAAGCTGAGCTAATATATATATATATATATATATATATATATAATAATAACAANATATACTATATATATACANCTATATAGNTCATANATACATAC